AGTCCACAAGGAAAGATGCTGCTGTGCACAAACCACACCCAGGAGGGCAGGACATGTTATCCCTCCTTCAGCACCTGCAAACTCCAGGACAACGCTGCAGCGAGCAGGCTTGTACCCAGGACATTCTCAAGGGTTTGACTCAGGAAGCAAAGTGTCCCAGTAGCCCTGCTGCTCCCAGCTCTCCAGCAACAGGCGACCTTGGATTTCAAATGCTTTATTCACTTTCTCATACCCACACACACCTTAACATCATCTTCTACTGAGTTTAATCTGTGTATTTGCCTCCAAATAATAAAGAAATAAACACTGACAAAAGACCTTGGGATGCATTTTCTCATCCTCTTCTCTCATGTATTGTACCCCAGATGGACACAACACCGTGCAACAAAAAGCAATTGCAAAAGCCATGTCCTCTTCAAATGGTTGCCTAACTTGTGCTGTCAGGGGACAGGGACAACTCATGGCCAGGCATCCTGCCTGGAAGTGGCTGGTGACATCCCAAGGTGGTTCCTGCAGGGGTCACCCCGCTTTGCCCCAACCTGTGACGATGGTGGAGGAGCACCCACTGTAAGACTTGCAGCTTGTGAATCCCACACGCTCTAAATTAGAGCACAGAATAATGCTGTGTAATGGCTTGGTGATTAGATGGTATTTACCAGCTAATTAAACAATCAATAGTTACTGTGCAGTTATGAAGTTAGCCCACAGTACTGTATCTTGTACCCTGTAAAATAAAACCTTGCTAAAGCTGTAAAAGGAGAGCTGCATCCCCAGGACACTCACCAAAGCAGCACTTGGCATTAATGACTGTTGCCCTCCTGGTAGGGTTGGGAAGAAGCACGGAAGTATGTAATCTCAGCATCATTTATTACCCTGTTCAGTGCTGTAAAACTACACAAGATGAGGGAGGCAAAGGTTACCATCTGACCTATTTACTTTTTTTTATCACTATTGCAAAGGCTTGCATCAAACTCCTGCCTGGTGATGCTGTGCACGGGCCAGCACGTGAACACCCGTAGCTAAGCAGGTCTGAAACCACTGCGGGATCGCTCTGCTTTTCAACATATTCAGTGCACAGTAAATACCCCACTGCATGTCTTCCCCCAGCTTTGTAACCATCTGCTGGGAAGATATTTCTGAGTAACCTAGTGTCCTTTTACTTTTAACCCATGTATTTATTGGTGTTTGACCCATCAGCAGCTGTGGCCCTGATGCTGTGATTTATCCAGGCAATCTAAGCATAGACCGTATTTTAAGGATTTTGTCCTGGCTTTCTAATACCAAGTAGAATTAAGCAGTAATAATGTGTTGGAACATAAAAGCAGTGTTTCCTCACACTTTAGATAATGCTCTAAAGGGTCTTAGAGATTTTTGTGATCACAGTTTTGCTTTCAGCCATCAGCTACCTGCTAAAACACAATGAGGTAATGGCTGAATTCCTAAGTCCAACTCATTGTATTCCTGTTAGCCATTTCTTTAAACACCTTCAATAACAAAAAGAAAACCCAAAGACACAAAAATCCACTACTGCAACAATGTCTGGCACAGGAGCTAGCATGCTCTCAGCCTTTTATCAAAACCAGTTTATAATCTGTAACATTAGATCTAGGATTATTAGAATATAAAAGAAAAGCTGCCAATTCAGTTAGAGATAAACCATCACCAGTGCCATCCCTCATTAAAACAAAAATCAAGCTTTTCACCAGAGATTGTTAAGCAGCCAACAAGGAATGTTATTTCTCTTTGCAATTATTTGCAGTGAAGAGCTTGTGGCTGAGGTTAGAGAAGAGCGAGCAGAGCGGGTCACTGCTGAGGGCTCCTGCAGCGTTCAGGTGTCCCTGGGGTATGGCCAGAGCTGGGAAGCACCAAAGTCATGTTTTAACCTGCAGTCCTGAGCAAATAAACTTGAACATACAGAGATCAACCCAAACAAGCCACCTTCACCTCTGGAGCACAAGCCTCAGAGAACAAGGCTTTGATTTACAGACACACTGTGTACTGCCTGAAAGGGAACTTCAAATAACAACCCAGAAAGTGGGATCAAAGCAACTTGTGCAGTGAACTTCATCCCAGTGCCCAAGCTTTGGCAGAGGGATGCATTCCCTTTGGGAGCTATTCATCTGCACTGCATTTGGCCAATTTGGTTTGCTCCTACAAGCAGGGAGATGGCACAGGCTGTGGCAGGGGCTCCTCAGTCTCTCCAACACAGCAGATTCTGAGGCTCCATCATCTGCTGCTCTCTGATGGCTCCTGTTATTACAAGACATTTCTCGGGCTCCGTGCCCTGTCGGGCTGTGATATCATCCAGTCATTAGAACAACGCTACCATGTGCTTTATCCCATGCGATCAGTGGGAGCTTTGCACCTTCCACATGTCCCTCTAGGGCCTGGGCAGGCCAGCTGGTTACCACCAGGACACTTTTAATCTCTGACACAAATACGGCCATGTGGCAGTGTCAGACCCGGCTGCTCAGTCAGGTTTTCTGAGGCAAACACCAGGGCTGCAGTCCTGTTTCAGCAGTCTTGCCGCACACTAACAAAAGATGCTCTCCTCTGCCTGGAATATGCCTCTCATTTCTGCCTGTTCCCAAGGGCAAAGCTGCCCTCAATACTTCAGAGAGAGGCTAGTCCTGCAAAGGGGATGTGACACTCACCAGGTGATCATTCCTGGCAAAGGGGTTGGACCTGCAAAGCCCGGGCGAGGAAGCCAACACCAGAGCAGGCACCACAATTAACTATTCTTTCCACATCTAAAAATGCAAGTGAAGACACAAACAGCCTCTAAAAGGACAGAAATGGTGCACTTTGGGTATCACCCGCCCAGAGGGTTGGGAAAACCCCTGCCTCATCTGAAATGCACTTGAAATGGTGGTGGAACAACCATGTAATTCCAGAGGACACCGCTCCAAGGTATGGACCACTTGTAAAGGCTGTTTTAGAAGGGAGCCAGAAGGTCTGTGTGTCTTGAAAGTCGATCCATTTGTTTTGCTGCAAGAGATAAATACAGCGGTGGTATCTGGAGGACAAGAATCGCAGAGATCTGATTTCCACGCTGGGTTTCAGGGTGGGAACACCATAAACAGTTATGCATGCTTTATATCAAAGTCTCCTTTTGTTTATAGAGCGGGTGCTACTCCAAGGGTTCAGCTGATGAGATTTCTGAAGTCAGTCTCAGCCTGAACTCATACCTCAACGCTTACTAACTTGGTTAGGACAGCAGTGGTCCCCCCTCCCCGCCACCCTCCCGGCTGGCACCCGCACCGAGTGAATCACAGCGAGGACAACCGTGTTACTCCACAAGTTAAAAACAGTTAAGAGGAGGAATTATTTTTGTACAGCAGGCAAAAAAAAATAATAAAAAAAAATAGAGAACACAGAAGTGTGCAGCTCCTGGAAAGCTTACAATTGGATGTCCCTGGGTGTTTTTTTCCCCGCTTTGGGATAACACAGAGATGCAGCAAAAGAATCAAACACAGCAAGAGGAAACCCAGCCAGCAGGGCCATGCAACCAGCTTATTTCCCTTTTCTGCTCTCCACAAAAACATGACGCTTTCAAAGGGCTGTTGAAGGCGCATAGTTTCCACTGATTGTTAGAAATATGCAGCAGTTAAAATTAGGTCACCCTCGACCATTATTTTAGCAGCTGAGAAGAAAAACAGTTCAGAAGGGAGCTCCCGTGGCAGAGAGCACAGGGCAGAAAACCAACCAGTACCACAGGGGAAGGGTCCCTGGAATATAACCTGAAGAACAGTTTTGGTGTGGGTTTTTTTTCCCCTTTTGTGGGGTTTTTGGTGTCTTGTTTTGTGTTTGGTTTTTTTTTTTTAACTTATTGCAGTCCAAAAATTCACACATTTGAAACTGAAGCAGCTTCAGTTAATCTTCAATTCACTTCAATCCCTCTATCCTCATACTGATGGGATTAGCCTACAGCAGCTGGAGGATGGAGAAAGCAGAATGCACAACAAATACTTCCTGACAGGCAGTTTTTTAAGCACCCTTCTCTTCAGCAGGCACAGCTCACTGTCTTTTACTGCCTGACGGGCCAGAGCCATGCCTTCCAAGCCACCAGGTAAGAGCACATGAATACATTCCTTTCTATAGTCAAAACAGAATATGGGCATGACAGGTAAACAGAATCTGTGTGCACACACACGTACAGAACTTATGCCCACGCATGCAGAAGTTTTAGGAGAATGGAGCCCAAGGGAGCTGTCTCCCAGCAGACCTGAAATATTTAGCAAATTGTTCATGCAACCAGGCTGAGAAACACCAATATACACATGCAGATGAACCCAGACTTTAAAATAATTCAATCCCTTCCCAACTCCACATGAATCATCCACAAAAAAACCCACCAAGGTGACAAATTCTGGAAATACCCCAAGCTCAAAGGTGCTTAGGACAGGTGATGTAATTTAGCAGAGAACAAACATTTTAAATATTTCTGTAAAGAAGTTTGTGAGTTTACAATTCTGTTCTCCATGGTCCTCTCACTATTCTCATCCAGAGAGCTGCTTCCAGGTGTTTCAGAAATTTAAAGCAAGCCTGTTGACTGCTGTGTTTTTCCTCCTGCAGCAGGTTTCTGCTGGTGGAAAGGGCAGCAGCCAGCCTGTGTGCGGGATGAGCACTAGACTGTGGCAAACTCATTTGGCAGCCTATTGCAGCTGTAAACTCAGCTCTTAGATGAGATCAAGATTTATCTATTAAAGTGCAGACTTTTCACTCCCTCCTCATCATATAATCAATAAAAGGCAACTGGGGGGAGAGGGGAAAAAAAGGGCGATTTATTTTTTAGTGACAGTTTCAGAACTGTTATGAATTGCTTATTATCAGAGCTCTGTGTGCTACACGGTACTTGCACACAAGACCAAAAAAAGCCAGAGTTCAAGAAGGCTTCTTGACAGGCCTGAACAGGTCAAGCCTTGCCCAGACAATGTGCTGGGACACTCCATCTTTAACACATGGTCGAGGCAAACAATCACTTCAGATGGAGCCCTTACCTTATAGACCTGCCCATAGGTACCATTGCCAACAAGCTCCACAAGTTCAAAGATTCCTGCAGGATCCTAGGAGAAAAGAAAGAAAAAATAGGTATTTAAGAAGGAATACTTACAATTTTTGCAAAAATAAATGTTCAACAAAGATCGACATTTCACTGACAAATGTTTTAAGTGTGTTAAGCTTTCCTGGCTGTCAGTGGCCATGAGAAGAGTGGCAGTGCCCCGTGGCAGCCCTGCTGACCCCTTCCAGCATGGGCAGCCACAGCACTGCTGGCAGCACAGCTCTGCACAGCACTGCTCACCTCCGGCATCTGGGGTGGGAGCAGACATCAGGCTGGTGAACAGCAATTATTTGCTAGTAAAACTTTAGTGTTCTTATGCATCAGCTTTGGAATAAAACAAGCTAACTGGTGGGATGTCACTCCTGGGCTCAAAACAGGATTTTCCAGGTATGCTCCTGAGGTCAGCAGTGTTAATGTTACTTGGCCTAAACTGCTTTTTTTGGTTCAGTGCATCCTGCCCATTGACATTCTGGTTTGTCAACTGACATGAGCAGATCTAGGGCAGCACTACATGAGGACAGAATGACTTGGATGGTGGCACCAAAGCCTCTAAGAATGTCCCCCAGACCCCTCCACCCAGCATGTGCCCAGCTAGGGGAAGGGCAGTCACACAGCAGCACAGATGCCTGTGGAAGCCAGAGTGCCCCCACCAGCAGTTAAAAAATGATACAAGCCAAGAGGTATGAGGGAGGGTGGGGAAAGAATAAACCAGAGATGCTATTTTCTCCTCTTGGTGGGTTTTCCCCTTCCAGAAGCTTAATTTATACTCTTCCACTCCTCCCCCTTCTCCCATAGTCATCACTTCAACTTTTGATCCCCCGGAAGCTGGCTGATACAGAGGAGTCCTGGCACCCCAGGGGTCTGAGCACCCCTGCAGCTCCCCAGCCCATTCATAGGTGACCCCAACACCACCCATCCTCCCTGCTGGATTCTGAGTCACTTGAGCTATCAAGCAGCTTGGCATCCCAGTGAGCAGAGGGCTGCCAGCTGCTACCTGAGAGGATGCAGATGGGTCGATGAACAGCAAAAGAGGATCAGCCAGCAGGATACAGGAGAGGGACACCCACCACAGCACTATGGACACAGAGGTTTCATTCATTACAAAGCCTGCATCAGTTCAAGACGACTTCTGGGTCCAAAAGTTAAACACTGCCACTTTGTGAGCAGCTGAGAAGCGAGGTTCAACATATTAATATCACCGCAAGTCAATTAATCCAAGGCTTGACGTGACTGAGGCACCTTTCCACCCAGCCCAGAACATGTGCTGCCACACACCTCCTGGCATTCAGCACACCTCCGTGCCAGGGTCACAGCAACCCTGCTGATCACCCCACACATTCAGAATTGCCACATCCCACTTCTGCTTCTTTCTCTCATCCTATGTGCGACTTCATCGGGGAGGAATGAGAAGCCCAAGCCCAGCCTTTGGTAATACCTGTTACCTTGGCAATGCTTCTGGAAGAAGGCTTGGAAACCACTGAGGACATGTCAGCCCTGATGCAAATATACTCCAAATGATCTTCAACTAGACATTCAGTTGAAGTGGGGGAAAGCTACAGCAGAAGAGATTTCTAGCATGCAGCATCTTGATTGGGTGCAGACATCCCATAGCTTTACTGCCCAGGTACCAGGCAGGGAAATGCCACAGACAGATGGGAAAGAGAACCAACAGTGCACTGGGTTTCCACAAATTGGGTGAGAAAGGAGAGGGGAAATCATGGTGGCAGCTGCTGTTTACTTTTTTTAGTTTCTTCCCTAAGGGTTGTTCTCTGCAATGCTGAAACAACTCTGAAAGAGGCTTTTCCAGTGCTACAAGAATATCTATTTTTGAATATTCACTAGGAGATTAAGGAAGAAGAAAGCTGTGCCTAAGGCAGATGATCAGGAAGTTTGGAGAAACATCCAGGGAAGCAGCTGGCCATTTCTGATAAAGAGAACTGCTCTTCACAGTATGTTTTCCATCCTCTTTCCACAAATCCTAAAACAAAAGAGTACCTCATCTTGCCATCCCAGGTCACTTCTCACTCATCTAACACATGCAAATGTCAGACGTGGTGCAGCTCCACCAGGTTCATCCAAGTCCATCCCTCACTTGGTTGCAGACCTGTCAGCCTCCACTTTCCCCCACCGCTCCCAGCATCCACAGCTCCTGCTCCAGCTCCCACCCACCAATTTCTCTGCTGCCTGTCCCCCCTCCATCCTGTTTCCTGGCTGCATTTTTCCAGAAGCATTGCCAAGGTAACAGGGCACCTCGCAGTGCGGCGCTGAGTGACAGGTCTCCCCTGGCTGCTGGCACGAGCTGCCCCATCTCAGCACAGCCATGGCAACAAGCCAGGAA